AGAAGAAGAAGAAGAAAGAAGAAAGAAGAAGAAAGAGAAGAAGAAGAAGACGAAGAATGAGAAAGGTTAAGAATCGAAGAATGTTTCAGAGAATAAAAGGGGAATAAAGTTACAGTTCAACATGACTGTTGACGCAACATAAAAAAACGACAGCAATGTACAAAATAATAAAAATAGAGAAGAAAAGAAAAAGCGAACAATGTTGAATAAACAATAAAAAACTAAATAATTGATAAAACTAAAGTAACAAAATAAAATTCAAAAAATAACAAAGTTTAAGAATATCGATTTTATTGATAAATACTGAACTACGACTTATTAAGAAATAAAGATAAAAAATAATGGGGTTCTCGCTGCATCGTCTCAATGCGCTTTACATTTATGAGCAGTGGAGGACTTTACGGGCGCTATTAGCATCCGTGCAGCTTACAATCATGAGTGATTTGTTAGTACATTAGTGCTATGCCTCCAAATTGGGATAGGGCTGTTGAACATGTTATTCATGACAATAGTTTTTTCCAGAAGCTAAAAAGCTTCATACGTAGCAATTACTCTGTGCAACTTGTCTCACCGATAAGACTACAGGTTTTACTTAGTTTTCCTTCCAACTTCGGGATGGCTAACAGTGCTTTTCGCGGGAAAAGTTTAACGAGTAAAAACTTCACACATGTAAAAACAACTGGCGATATTTTCGCTAAAGCAGAAAGACGCTTTGCAGTTTACAGCTTGTCAAGAACATCAAACCTTAAGGCGTAATATTTTCCCTTATGGTTGTCATAGTAACAAAACTGAAAACTGAAAAATGCAATCCACTTCACGGATCCCTGAGAAGAGGGATACGACCAATATTTCAGCGCTTTTCGTGTGGGTAAGAACTTTATGTTGCCGATTCACAGCGCCAAACCCAGAAAGTAAAAATTACTGCTCATCTTCTTTTTTTTTTTAAATGATTGTCAAAAACCAAACTCTCCTAAAATAATAATTCTATAAGTTAAACAATCTATTCCTTTGTTTACAATTGGCATCACTAGGAAATGGGCCTTACTGGAGGGTACTGAAGGGTCCTGAAGGGGTAAAATGGGAGCTGGGATTTCCCTTTTCTTGGGCTGGGAAAATGGGATTTTATGCTCTGGGAATGGGATTCAAAAACAAATAACAATCAAAATGAGAATGGGATTGAGATTGGCGCAAAACAAAAGCTGGGATTATGGGATTTGAAGTGGGATTTGAGTGAAATTTGGGCTGGGAAGTGGGATTAGACCCCGCTTCAGGACCCTCTTACTCACGCGCCAGTCATGCTGGCTGGAATGATATAGTTTCCTCTACACGATGTGGAAGTCGTCGCGATTCGAGTAATCCAGTACCGCTCGAAAGCTGGATTTTCATTGCTCCCTAAGTACAGTACCGCTTTTGTAAGGTTAGGTTTAGTGCTATTGTTTGGAACAATCTATTGTTTTTTAATCCAATCATGGAACTTGTTCCGAGCGGTACGGGCTGGCTCCGCGATTCAAACAAATTCCCTGGAGCCCCTAGATATCTTGTGTCCATATGACAAAAACTATCAACTACAAATAAACTACGATATTAATAATAAATGCCTTATTGTGGCAGATTGTTATTGTGTGTCTGTCTGAAATCATTCAACCATGTCTTTACTCTCTTTAATTTGTATCCACGAGGTCCAATATCTCCTTCTTCGACGACGATGCCGTCTTGTATGATGTAAAGCCTTTCTGGTAGGGCACCGTATGCCTTCATCGCCTCGTCAGCCATGTTGTCGACCACTATTTGAGCCCACGGTGCATGCTGGCGGAGGGTATGCGCTGCTTCAATTCTGTCATGCTCGTTCCGATGCTGATTGAAAATTTTACCGTTCTGGAAGAAAAGAGAAACGGTAACTTAGTAATAGAAAAACCTTTTTGCATCAATAGAAGCTTTGCACCATCACGTGATGGCAGCCATGACAGGAGGCAGGAATTCATGAGATAGAATTCAGTTTTCCAAGGGAAAAAAGACTCTATTGTCGTTCCTCCTGTCATGGCTGCCATCAAATGATGGTGCAAAGCCTCTGCAGGAAAATAAAATCTATTCACACGAAAAAAGAAATCTCGAAGAGAAATAAATATTTTTTCAACCAATATTGCTATCGGCATTGCTGCTATTGCCACGTGACCTTGGAAACTGTCACGTGAACGTCGTCTGCCACCGTAGCATAGCGAAGGTGAGTGTGAATACCAGTGTCATAGTAGAACTTTATTTTCGACAAGCAAAATCGACGTGTTTGAAAAATTCTGTTTTTCCATGTTTTTTTTACTGGTGCATGGAGTTCCTGTGGTCTTGGCGGGAACTTTTCGATTCGCGCCAAAACGCGCACGCGTTAATACTCTGTCTCGTTACGTCACTGGCGAAACACTAAATTTAACGAAGTCTAATCCTTAAAATATGTGACGAAATATTTTCGTTTTTCCCCTAAAACTTTAAGGATGGAAGAATAATACGAAATCACTAAAGAGTTTATCTCAACTATGTCCAAAAACATTGAAGCTAAGTTTCTTTCACAAATTAACTGACCGGACAAGCTCCACAAAAGAAAGCCGCATTAATTCATTGATATTAACTTATTACTAATTAATTTATTCTGTATTAGAGTTTGCGTGAGTAAAAGTCATGTTTGATCAATATCTAGTTCAGACAAGACAAAGTTGTTTATCTGAACTGTCATTCAATTCCTTCCACTCCTTTTCCCGTTGAAGGATCGATGTAGACGTCGACAAGGGAAGCTGTTACCTATTGATAGGTCGAGTTATTGAAAAACACAGGAAGAGCTGGGCATAATGAATCGAAATCAGTACGTAAAGGAAACGGAAATTATATTAAACTGCGAGAAAGAAGCCGAAATCATAAAAAAAATCCACAAAAAATCAGAATGTATGGAAATTATATACAACTTCCCGTATGAATTTTTCTATTTTTCTCTTTTCTTTTCTTCCATTTTATTTTAATTTCCTTGCTGAAGTTTTGATAAGCAAAGAATCAGATGAAAAAACCATTGATTATATCGTTTTTCTTTTTGTATATTTTTTGTTTTTCATGTTCATCTAGTTTTCTTTCCACAGTAATAAAACTTTTCCTGTCTGTTCGCTCGTAAAATCAAAACAGCCATGTTTTTATCATTTGGCTCCGTTTTCAAATAATATTGCATTCAGTAATTCTTGTGGCCCCAGGGAACATTACACGTCGTATAATATCAGTTATGGTGGAATGTTTGTTTAAAAAACGTCGGCAATATCCATGTATAAAATGATAGACGATAATGAGATTGTAGATTATTTATATAACTATATGTGTATATAGCGCTGTGCAAAACATCTGCAAAAGTCAAATATATCAATATATCTATACATAAATTAAACAGCATATTTCCAGATTCTTTAAAGCGATTTGCAACCAAACGTTAGCCGAATATCTAGATTACAGCTCATGCTGTAAACTTTGGTTATATTTTACCAAAACGTTGTATTAAACCTTCATTAAAGCGATTTTTGAGTTGAAAATTACCCATAATGCACCAAATATATCGCTATACATTTTAATTGCAAAAGTTTTGCAAAGCGCAGCCATTTGCAAAAATTATGGCCGTTTCAAATATACATACAAGTATATCAAAAGCATATTAGACACGACGGGATATCTTTCTTGATATTTTTTTCAGAAAGCCCTAGTGATAGACAATTCAAAATAAAATATCAGGGGTGATATTCCATAATTTTTGATATGCTTTTGATATACTTGTATATTTATTGGAAGCGGCCACAATTTTTGCAAATGGCTGTATATATATAATAATGATTATTACTATATTTCCATGACTCACCTTCAACATCCATCCCTCTACAGGGTGAGTCTCTTCGATGTACACGACCAAAAAGTCTGCAACATCAGCAAAATCTTTCTGTATTTCGCCGAATTCTTGCATCTTCTCGACAAATGTGGGTCAGCTGTTACTTCCAAAGTTCAGCACCAAGGGTCTGTTTTCCTTAGCAAAACTCAACAATCTTCTATCTTTGTGGAGTTGGCCTTCAAGGTGCATTACACATGGATTGGGTGCTGGCAGGCCAGTTTTTGCTGTTTTCAAGCTTGCCATCTTCACCACGCGTGTTTGGAGCTTGTACATGACCCACTTAAAGGCAGTGTCCCAGTATTCTTCCCTAGGCATGTGTATCTGCGCTGTCCAGGCGAACCATTTCACGGTGGAGAGCGTGTTAACGACGGGAATTTGATGAAGAATCTTCATGACAACAAACTCGATTGTCATCATAGTTTGGTTGAAGAAGAACAGAATATACGCTGACAACCGTTCAAGACAAACCATTTTCAGTGCACAATTTGTCGCCTAAACTGCGCCGTCTCCAGATTTGGGTAGTTTCAAATGCCTTTTCTTTGAAGAGGGTTTGGTCTTTGTCGATGCGTTCGCACTCCACAGTACCTTGGTTAAGAGGTGAAGTTAAGGCTTGTCAGTTTGACTGCTAGACAGTCTGCCGGTTACAGCGCAAGCTACTGACTTTCATTTACCTAAGACCAGCTATTGTCGAGTCACATTAATTAAATGAGAGAAAAGTTCAAGTGTACAGTTCCACTTGCTTAGTCACGCGCATCTGGGTGCTCGCAGCGAACACTGCGTTTAACACTACCGGCCAGGCACTTTCAAGGATGACAACACGAGAAACCTGCAAACTAGAAACAGATAATTCTTCTTCTGTTTGTGGCAAGAAAGCTTTGATGTGTCTAAGATTGATTCAGTGTTCACCCTCACGGTCACTTTGATGATCAGAGAAAAATGTCGCGTGATTTATCAAATTTGTTATGACGCGTGATATTTGCCTCAAGTCCTTCCTTTAATTTTCAACTTTAAGGTTGGTTAGAGAGTCAATGAGAAACGTTTCAAACTCACTGAGCCCTTAAAGGAAGTGCACGCGATAATTACCTCTAAACTCAAAATCTGGTGGTAAAATCAGGCTAAATAAAAACGCTTTATTTCTCCAGAATGTCTAATCCTCGTAGGAAATTCCCCGAGAGTTAGAAGATTGAGAATAGGTCTTTGTCCATAAAGTACATGTGCTGGCGGGATACAAGGGAAAGGCATTTCGTGCAGATAAAACCCGGAGGTGCAGAAGAGGTCGAGTTTATACGTCAATGCCGGTGCTGGTTTGCTTGTCGCGAGTGAGATGAGTCACGATATCTGAATAAAAATCGTCGATTTGGCGGCATATGCTGGCGTCATGTAGACGAAAAGCACATGGAAGAATGACTAAGGGTTTAGAAAACAAATTAATAATACAGAGGTGAAGAGCTGCGAGCCGTGCAAGACGCAAAGAAATACGAATGACGGGGAGTCTGGTTCGATCGAGATGTAAGTAGATTCCCTGTGGTGGGGTGTTTTGAAGACGAGACTTAGGTCATGTTAATGATAAAAAAGAGAGAAAAATGAATGACAGAAAAGAAAAAGGGAAGAGAAAAGAAATGAGATGGATATGAAGGAAAGGAGAAAGAAATGTATATCAGTTATAATATACATCTCTGAGAAAGAAATGACAAAAGAAAAGATAAGGAAAGGATAAATGGAAAGGAAAAGAATAATAACAAAAAGAGAAGTGTGAAAAAAGAGAAGAAAAAAGAAGATAAAGGTATAAAAAGAAAGAGGGAAGAGAAGAAAAGGTAAGAAAAGAAGAAGGAAAAAAAAAAAAAAAAAAANAAGAAACGAAAAAGAAATAAGAGGAAAACACGATAATAAAAGAATAAAACAAAACAGAAAGACCCAAGAATAAAGGAATTAAACAAGCAACATTTCCTCTCTACTCTTCATCACAACATTATCTAAAACTTATTTTACGTTACCATGAAATATTTCCCCAACAGAGTACTGTGAAGGCAACTTGGCAACTTTCATTGTTTTTGCAGACAATTTCTACTCGATTCAACTCGATTTTCGAAGAGCCTTTTATATAATCATCATATAACAAACGAATTTTATTAAAAATATTCTGAAAAATATTCTGAAAATATCTGCTTATAAAATATTTAAGTCGAAAGATTTAATTTGGCAATAAAATAAAATGTTTCAAGTCATAACTAAAATGTACATATATATTCGATTGTAGACCCCCCCCCCCCCCCCAGGGTTGCGCAGTCATCCAAACTCGAGAGACGTACGTGATGAGCAAATGAACAACATTAGGAGTTTCGAGATGAAAATCTGTAAACAATATTTTGGGATTCTTGAATTGGAGTTAAAAAAGAGTTCGAAAAAAGGAAAAAAATGAAGAAAAATAGAAATGAAGAAAGAAAAATCAAGAATGATAATTATTTAATGAAAGTTTTTTCATATTCTCTTTGAATTTTCGCATGTTTTAAAACATTTTGTCACCCATCGAGTTTGGATGCCTTACGCCATAGAAACTATGAACAGCGACCGCACTGCTTTTGTACTCAAATCTCAACTAAGAGAATTTTTGCAAGTGAGCAAAACACTCATATGCAAAGCTGACGCAAAGTGCTTCCTCGCAGACCATGCTTCCAAGCATGTTAAGTACTAGAATCCACTGGAGAATCCGGTTGACCTTGGCTCTAGGCACGTTATCTGGAGTCAAACAATCTGACGACTTTTATAAACCTTCATGCTTTGGCAATAAAACCCCTGGGGGGCAACGAACTGAGATATAATGTGAAAAAAAGATCTTAACACCAATCTTTTTCGCGATTACCGTCATAAGATGTTGGACCAAAGTTTTTGCCCTATAGGCCCTTTTTCACGTGCAAATGTATCACATTAATATATCACGAGTGAATAGACCTCTCCCTTGGGCGTAATGTTTTCCCATTTCAGATCACGTGTCATTTTCTTGAGAATAAGATTCTCTGTTTGAGTTGTATCCACATCTATGTGCCTTCTCATGCACAACCGTTAAACAAAGAATTATACTCTTGGGAATGACAGATGGTCTGAAAGTAAGGTAAAGATGCCTAGTGAGTCCCAGGGTCCTTGAGGAAGGCCCAATTGGTTGGCAAGCAAAGTTGAAAATGCTAAAACCAAAAAACGGTTTTGGTCGTGACATTGGTAATCTAACATTAACAAAACTCAAATTCTGAATTTGTAACTGGTCAGTAAGTCACGTGATTATGTTCCTGAAAGGGCCTAAAGAGGCTTTGCACCATCACGTGATAGCAGCCATGAAAGGAGGCAGGAACAATTGAATCTGGTCTAATTTGATTTACACAAGAAAGAATTTAGTTTCCCAGGGGAGAAAGACTCCAGTCATGGCTGTCATCACGAGATGGTGCACGATAAACATGTAAAGAAAAAAAAGTATTAAGCTTGCTTCGTTACTTCGACACAAACATGACAATCGCATACGCAGTCAATTGCGCATTGCTAATTAACAGCAGTTATCTTTCCTCGCACCTGTGAGAAAAGAGCTGCACTGAGTCTGTGTATGTTGCTGATGATTATACCTGTTGCACACTTAGTCGTGCATTGCTCATTAACAGCAACTTTCTTCTCTCGCAACTGATGAGGAAGACCTGCAACAAGTCTGCATAAGATGCAAGAGTGACAACCAGGCCTATATATATATAGATATTTTTTAAAGTAATGTTCGATATTTATTACCTCAGTGAAAGACCTTGAAGTTTAAGATCGATTTGGTTACCATGGTATCAAATTCTTCTCGACAACTTTTGACTCCTACCCAAACGAACGCTAAGCATGATGGCCATGAATGGTTCCTAATCGCCAATAAAACTTCCAGCACTAGATATAGATGAATCTTGTATGATCGACGGAAAGTTCTCAGTCTGTGTATAATGTTGATGATCATACTTGTGTTGCAGACCGCTCAGTTGTGCATTGCTCAGTAACGATTTTTGTCTGCAACCCAAACCAACGCTAAGCATGATGGCCATGAATGGTTCCTAATCGCCAATAAAACTTCCAGCACTAGATATAGATGAGTCTTGTATGATAGATGGGAAGTTCCCACAGTTCAGACAAAAGAACTTCGTACACCTACTGGAAGTACAAGAATCATAGGACTTCGAAACACGGGATGTTTTGTCAATTTTAAAAGTCTCGTTGAGACAAATTTCACCTCCAACTCCTTGATTGTTGTCTTTGGATTCTTGGTCTCTTTTTCTCCTGGGAAAAGGAATTTCCCCATTCGGCGTCTTTTCAACTGTCACTTTGGCCAGATTCATTCTTGAAGTCAATTTTTCATGTGAAGTAGAGCATGGCGAATGCCTCTCTCGGTGTATTGAATACTTTTTTCGATTCGAGTTTCTATAATTCTGATCCTCCATTTCCAAACTGGTTCTTGAGTCTCTATCAGAAAAGAATTGTCTTTCAGGAGAAGGATTTCTGGTTGTCGTATGACGTCTGCGAGAACAGCTTTCTTCAGTTGCACTCTCGTAACGAGACCTATAATCTTTATAGCAAATTCTGTCCTCTTGAGATGTTCTGGAACACGAAGATCTTCTCATTTTTTCAGATGAAAAATAAGCTGTCCTTGCTGTAGAATCTGTATCTTTTCTTATTCTACTCCCAGGCGATAGTTTCTTGAATTCCTCTAAGGTATTTCCCCTTATTAATTGCTGTTTACCACGATCTCTGTAACTTGGTGAGTCGACTCCTTCACCAGTTCTGACCAAACTTCCATGGGACTTTTGGTAGCCACCATCAAGTGTAGCGGTGTCCTTAAGAAAACTTTCACGACAGGCATCCTTGGTGTAACCATCGTTGCTTCTTTTCAAGGGTTTTTTCATGTTGTCGCATGGATTAACCGGCTTAACCAAAGAGTAGGGGGATCTTGTCCCATCTGTGAACAGTTTTTGGCTGTGCTTTCTCGGTCTGGTTTCCACAAAATCTCGCATACAATTGGATTCCTGTGATTTGTCCTCTTTCCAGCTGGAGTTGCCAAACTCTCGATTACCATTACGCACTTCGATATCATCAAACATCTCAGGAATATTTACGATTTCCTGGTGCTTCTTTTGCCGTTCGTTGTGAATCGCGCTGCCCACTATTATCTCTTTTCCAGCACCAAGCTTTAAAGCGAACAAATCTTTTTCAACGCTCGATTTCTTGTCGTCGTTCGTCCTCAGGCACGTTCTTTTTGGTGATGTCTTCTCATTTGCACAAAAAAGTGCAGAGTCAAAACTCCTTTTCCGTGAAGATCCAAGGAGGTTTTGTCCAGGAACAAGTCTAGAAACTTTAGTACCATCTTGTCCAGGAAGGTGGTTATTAAGATTCTTATGAAATTCCGGATGCACCTTCAATGTTCCCCACTTCCTATGATCGTAATATTCTTCTCGATCTCGCGCCATAGGGGTACTTTGAGAGTTGCCACGTCGATCTTGTCCAGGAAGACTGCTTCGAGGAAGTGCTTCTGGTATCTTTCCATGATGCTGCATGTACCTCTGGAAATCTGATAGATTCGTACTGTGACGTAGAATTTCTGAATGTGTGACTGGTAAGCAGTTGGTTAGAGGAACGGAGCGTCGACGAGATATGGCTACACATGGACGACCACTCTCCTGAAGTTTGATGACAGGCTTGGAAAAGTTATCAGACTTCTTGACAAGCTGAAGTCTATCGCCCTGATTCATCGAAGGTCGCTGGTTCTGTACTTGTGGGAGTTTCGAAACCACAGGTGTTTGTTGTCTTTGAAGGAGCTTTAAAGGTGAATTCCGAGCAGTAGTTTGCTCAGATGCACTCTGTTTAAAACAGATGGCATTCTTGGGGGCAAGAGTAGTTGGTAAGGTACTCTGAACTGGAGAAATCTTGAAAACAGCTTTGGTAGACAAGGATGATTTCAAACGTCCGTGTTGATCGACAGTTTTGGTGTTCATAGACAAGGGTATATATACACTCTTTTTGTCATCCGACTGCGGTGTTGAACTCATCTGTTTTCTAAGTCCTGGCAATGAAGGATTAAATCTTATAGTCCTTCTACCAGTTAGTAGAGAAACTGTTCTGTTCTTGTTGCTTGCTATTGCATTGGGTCCAATCACCATTTTTGTCTTCTGAAGTGACTGATTTCTTCTGGTCAACGAACTGGAATCACCAAGAGAATGGTTAGGTTCATTCAAACAAGAGGAGTTATTTCCATTTGACATTATCTCAGCTGTCAAACGATTACTAAACTCCTTAAGCAGCTTGTCTGGGAGAAATAGAGATTCCTTTGAATTACTCTGGACGGTCGATGAACTAGAGGTCGTATCGGTAGAGAGGGAGTCATAATCAGAATCCTTGCTGGAATTACCCTTCTGAAAATTCATGACAGCTTTAAAAAGTACATTAGCAATCTTGTTTCTAGAGTTGAGAACAGCTTGTGCAAAACTTGAAAGTCCCTCAGAGCTGGGATTTTCATTTATTATATCAGGTGTAACGTGTTCTTCTGTCTCATGAGATGTTATTGCCGGTGGCACTTTGTGCCTTATCGTCGGCAGATTAGGAGACGACTCCAGTTTTGTGCTTGTCAAGATATTTTCGTTCATAATACCAGGCGTAAAAGGGTAACCAGGTCCCTGATCTAGCATTTCATTTTTAAGTCCTGCAGACTCCTTAAAATCGTTATTCAATTGGAGTTCCACAGGGCTTAGTATTGGGTCCATTTTAATCTCAGATATGCCAGTTGAATCACTTACAAGGGTAGACGATAGAGGTTGAACAAATTGCATAGGCTTACTCTTGTCGTTTATCTCACAATTTTGTACATCTTTATGGAGTTTTGCCTTTGCCAGGTTTTGATGAGGAGCTTTGTTATGTGATGAAAGTTCCCCTGATGTGGTGTGGCCACTAGAGTCAGATTCACAGCCTTCATCATCAGATTCATCACATACCCCATCACTATCATCAGCAGCTCCAATCTGCTTTTGATCTGACTCATCTAAAACAGGAATGGGAATAACTTTTTTAAAATGTTAGAATTGCAGTCAGGTTTCATAGGACTTTTCTGCTCAAATCTATAAGTATAAAAATATAATTCACCAGGGAACACAGGGATATGACCATGAAACGATACAATATGATATTTCTTTGTTTGTCAAGAAACATACAAAGTATAGTGTATGCTTTCTTAGTTGTTAGTTTATTTGCTAGGTTTAGTCTATTTTATTACTTACCATTAAGAAGATCTTCCAGCCAGTCATACTCTACATTGCCTAAAAGATATGAAAGAGAACATGACATAAATCAAATAGAGAAGTACTTCTGTTAGTTTTTTTAAATAATTTTCATTTTATTCTACATAATATCCTATTCTTTGAATTAGACAAATGCCGCTGTGTTCCTTGATTACAGACTCATTTACTCAGGGTTAGCCTCATTTAGTCAAAATATCCAAAATTAGCAATACCAACTTGTGTACTTCCTTAGAACGTGCACGCTCATTGGTTAATTGGAGGTGACTATCGTATGATATTCACCTCTGAATCTCGGAATATTGAGTCAGCAACGAAATGGGATCTGCCGGCAATCGTTTTGCTACAATTTCCAATGAGGAAATTGAAAAAATGAAAGTAAATGTCATTCTTATCAATACTAAAAAGGCAACAAAGTATGACCTAAAAGTTTTGCTAAAAGTTTTGCGTGAATTTGTCATGCAAACTAAAAGTTTCTGTTTGTTTTTTTTGATATATTGTATATAAAAATAAGTTACTCTGTACACAAGTTGGTATATGCTAAAACAATTATTCACAACAGTCTCAGTGAATATGGGGAATATTTACCTCACCTCTCGAAGACTCGCGTCTCGGTAAATATTCCCCGATATTCACTTCGCCTTCTGTGAATAATTGCTAATTATCAACAGCTAAGTAAGAAATGCACAACTTTAACAACTGAGAAACTTTGAAATTAGTGTTAAATTACTTGGACCTTCTATGGAATACATAAAATTGAAAAAAAAGGAAATCAAGGCTAACCCTCAGCAACAGAAAATCCAAAACTGGAGAATTGCCTAGAAAAGGGATTTACACTAAACTGAAGTTCAGCTTACATTGAATTATGGATGTTAATTAGCCAAACATGGTGACTGGTCACATCAGACTGATCAACATTTGAGCAGTGATGAGGAATGGCCAAAGAGGTCTCGTACTACATAAGTGACTATTTTGGTCATACATAGTTCATTGACTGGCCAATATTTTTAGCACTACTGTAAGTATGGAAACTTTTTCCTATCATGCATTGCTCAGGGACCGCAGAGCAGGGGGGGACTATAGCCCCCTTCCAATAATTATGCTACCATTTTGAATTTTGTGCAATATTTCCACAAATTTAGTGCAAAAAAATATGTTCCCAATATCCCTCAAAATGCTGGAAATAGCATTTTGGAGAGTCATGATTTCGAAATTGCCAGGGGGGCGGGCATGTCCCTGGACCCCCTTAGTTGCTACCACCTTCGGTGATCAATAGCCCCCCCCCCCTCAAATACAAAATATGCTCAATGGCCCCTGTTGCTGGTACCTGGGATAGTGAGTATCCATCTAAAATCTAATCACATTTACCACTCCACAGTGGAAGGAAAGCCTAACAGTTTTTGCAAACTGCTTCAAAAGGCTACATATAGATCCCAATTTTAATTGAGTTGATTTTTTTGAGGGGAAGAAAAACCAGAGAAACTGCAGGAAAACCCTCAAAGCACAGGAGAGAACCAACGAACAACTTTACTCACATGCAATGCTGAGTCCTGGAATCAAAGCCAGGTCACATGGGTGAGAGACGAGCACTATTGACAGACATATATTGATTGATACTTAAAACTCACCTCTGTTACCCAAATCACTTAAAAGAATCTCCTGAGATTCAACACATCCATCTTCAATTTGCTCATACTATATTACAAATCAAAACAAATTACTATGACATTAGGAACTCTTAAATATCATGATCTGAAGGATGGATGGAGTATAAGGGGTCACCTAAAGTGTGTGTCATTTACTTTAGTACTGATATTGAATTACAAAGGAACCAGTAGGTCATTTAATAATAATAATAATGATAATAATAATAATATAGTAATATTTATAACTATCTTATTAATTATTATTTATTTATTATTTATTTTTAAGAGGGTTGCAGGTTGGGAATCAGAGAATATCCGTTAACTGAGCAAAAAAGGTATAAACTACTATTTTATTTGCTTAGTAATGTATAAAATGTTCACTTGGTCCCCATGACTTTCCCACAGTTCATTACCTTCTCCTATTATTAATGAAGACTTTGGGGATGGGAATTTGGATTCCTCTTTTCCCTAAAATCCCCGAATCCAACCTTCCATAAATATAGAATAAACTCTTACAATTAAGGAAACCCCTACGAACTTAAACTTAAGAAAACTTAAGTTTAAGTTAAATGCAAACCTAGTGCTAGCTTTTAGACGTATTTGTTGTAGGGCTTATGCACTTGTCATCGGCTTCCATGAGGGGGGGAGGGACCCTGGGCTAGACTTGGGGAATTGTGGGGGAAAGTGGGGACTTAGCCTTAAATCCTTGCCCCAGTACCTGGGGGAATAGTGGTAGATAGATAAAATGTTCTGAAACCCCCTGGAAGCATTAGAGTTCTTTGTAAAGAGCTGTTTTCATATAAATAAAGTATTGGACTCTAAAGGTCTAAAAAAGCAAACAGAGGTATAAACATCGTTTTTTGTTTGAGTTTTATTTTGACTTCGATTTAATGGCATTGGGGTTGATGTGTTAACCTACGCAGCTCGTAAACTGAAAACTAGTCATGCACAAAATGGCGGATACTGAAGGTCAAGTTACTGTAACTGTAGCGACACGTCAACTGTAGCAGCAAGTGAAAGCTTGAGACAGATGCTGATTTAGTATTTCAGTAAGAGTTTGTAGAAAGTTAAGATATTATCAAATGTTCTATTTGCTATACATGTTACTAAGATCTTGTCTCTAGTTTGTTTTATGGATTTAGTGTGTTCACTCTACTGTTTTGTGTTACTTTTGTGATCTGTTATTTCAACTCCACAACAATTGTCCCAGGGGCTGGTGGAATATAGGGGTATTTTCTAAGAACCTTGCCCCATATCTGGGGAAATACAGATAGCTTTCCTCTAGTCTCAAATCAAAGTCCCCGCATTTGCCCGGGGTCCCCCCCTCCCCCCTCCCCCCCTCGTGGAAGCCGATGACAAGTGCATTATGAAAGTTAAATTTCAAAATATATAATGTTTAGAGAAAAAGACAGCTACATGTAACCATCTTTATTGGTAAACGAAATTTGGGTAATAACGCGTATATTTGACCAGAAATATGAGAGATTTCAAGGCTTTAAACAAAATAAAAACATGAAAAAGTTTGGCATCAAATTTTCGAAAATTTGGCGCGAACAGTTTGGGTTTTCTTTTTCAGTGAGGAGGATTTTACTCGATTGAATTGTTAAATCGAGTATGTTTAAGCATGTGTTCCAGTGTTTTACCTTTTGATATATTAGTTCTAGATCAGCTTGGTAACGTTCTGCAAAAGAAAGATAACTACACGACTCGAGTTCTTCCTCGTCCGCCATGACACTTTTACTAGAACCAGTCTATCGCATCATCAGGAAACAGGAAGCCCACCAAAGAAAAAGCAAACATTACTTATATTGAACTATGCAAACTCAATTTGCATTGCTAATTTGAGTCCCCGGGGATTATGCAAATGAGATAATAAAAGCCCTTCACGTGGTCCTATAGTGTCACTCTACTCGAGGCAGCCGGTCAAACATCGTCTTTGTCCCACCYGCCCGCCCAAAGGAAGCCGGGTTTGAATTACCCTCAATGCACTTCTCGCTTTGGCCTAGGCGTGTCCCAGGCCAGAGCTATCCCCATTCCTTATTACCATCTCATGGATAACAATGCCCGGGGAAGAATATTACACTATTGGATTTTTCTGAATTTAACCAGAACTTTTCGAATCACAGGTAGCCCAAGCTTGGTTTCTGTGGTGTCCTGTTATAAGGAAATGTATGGAGATTCATCAAAAATTTCCATAAAATCATTGAAACGGGAAATAAAACCTCGAAATTTTACCCGATCATTGAGAAATAGCACCTCTTTCGCTCTGCGTGGTTATTTTTTGAATTTAGCCCGTTTTAAGATTTTTCCCCCCACCAGTAAGAAATAATTTCTTATTTCTTACTGGTGGGGGAAAAAAATCTGATTTTTCTGATTATTCGAAATTTAACCTGAGCTATTCGAATTTTTTGTTTATTCGAAATTTAACCTGAACTATTCGATTTTTCTGATTATTCGAAATTTATCCTGAGCTTTCGAATTTCTTAGCTTGTTCATTCGAAATTTAAGATAGTTCTATACTTTCACTCCACATAATTATTGAACACAGTACTGCATAAACCAAATTGTCTACTTGGACGGAGCAAAGTTTTGATTGACAAAGGGGGGGGGGGGTGTAGCCAGGGGTGGAACTAGAGGTGACAAGCCAACCCCCTTTTTGCACAAATAATAAAATGTAGCATTTATCTGGATAAACTCTTCACTCGGTATGCTTTAAGCTCTCGCATTGAATTTCCGTCAATTTGAAACACGACACATTTCCCCATCGTATTCCCAGGGTACCCTTACCCTGCGAGCAGAGTCTCCTTTTAAAGGAGACTCTGCTCGCAGGGTAAGGATACCCTGTAACAGTGGCTCCCTTTAAACATCGTGGTTTCGACCCTGTTTACTTTTCCTGATGGAAGAGGTAGAGGCGCACTGTTGTGACAAGTACTGGAAGCTAAGATCCCCACAGCCGACCCCCTCTTAGACGTACATTGTCTGAATGAGACCAGACACGAGTACTTTCAAGTAGCTTCCTTTATTAACCAATGAAATTTCGTGAAAACACATTTCCATCCAATCATAATCCTTCTTTACGGAAGCCTTTGAGCTGGCAGTCGCGATGCGTTTAACTTCATCATCTGTCGAAAGAAAAACAGTTTTTCTTTGAGAAAAGGGTCATGATTCGAAACAGTATACACGAAAGAGAAACTCATCAAGCTATTGAACTAGAAAGGTCAAAAAGACGAAGATGCATGTATATTTTATTCCTGAGTCTTGCAGCTGTCTTGTTATTGGCAATCTGTGGAGCTAAAGAACCCGAGCTTGAAGGAGGGTCTACCAAATCAACGCCAAACGTTTCGAAGGACTTCTTGTTCAGAGTTACTACTGATTGTCACTTTTTCGCTCCTGCTTTCCTTGCTTTTGGAGGTTTAGTTGTGTTAGTAGAGATTTACATTATGAATATCATACGCTAGTAAGAATTCAACGCTTCTGAACTGAAAACCTCACGACACTGATTCAGAGGAAACATCGACGGAAGTACATGTTGTTATTCTTTACGAGTTTCGTTGGGAACTCTGTAAGTTAAATGAAAAGCTGAAAACACAAACATAAGCAGCATTTATTACAAGCTGGGAAATTTAATATTATAATGAAAACTTTAGCAGGCGTTTCAGTTTGCTTGCTGTTGAGAAAGGATGTGAGCATGGAAGGGCACGGTAGCACCAAACAGACCCTGAAACGACATGCCATGCACTGGATAGAGGAAGGGAAAACGAGTGCTCCGCACGTCACATCGGCAACACAAAATACATTTATGAAAACGTCCGGTTCTAGTTTCAATCTTCTCGTTTGCAGAGCAAGATGAAATAAGGAACTTGATTTCTCGTTTGAGACAGTAAAGGACATTGGAGTAATGGACTGCGTTTATGTTTAGTGAATACCGAAAACCACTTCACCGAGTTAACTTTTTTCATTTTTTCACGGTGTATAATTTACCTTTTCATCTTTACTGTTTCATTAGAAACACCGACGCAGCTCACACTAGTTTTTAGCTAGTTATCTCTTCTGAATTAACTTTGATGAGGAGATGGGAGGGTAGGGTAGAAAGTCCTTCTCATCGAGGGTAACGTACTGCAGTCAACTTTGGGGACGGGGGGATCGGGAGAGAATAACTAAAGAATATCAATTCGCAATATGCATGTTCCATCTTAGTATGCTTTAAAACTTACCACAGGTATTCCAAGCTATACCTATCAGTCCTAAGTAAAGATCATCGGCACGCTGGCTGATAAAATTTGCAGGCTCTTTAGATGAATTATCCGAAAAGTTAGCACAGGTAACCCAAGTTTTGTTCGGGACTATCATCGTGACTGACATAAGGAAATGTATGGTAAATTCGTAAAATATTCAATAAAATTTATCAATGACTGGAAAAGCCTTCGAAAGCCTTTTAGAAATTTTTCTTCTTGCTCTCTGTGGTTTTAGACTATTGGGGATTAAGTCATTTTTGAATTGGCAATTCACCTGGGGTCTCTTTCTGTATTTGAGGGTTTTACTCCGGTTCTCCAGTCCCCCCCCCCCCCCCCCCCTAACAAGCTAAATTTCAATTCGATTTGTGAGTTATCCATATCAACCCAAGAGGTTGCTCTAAGGTACTGTGTTGATAAAATTTGAAGGATTGCCACAGGACCCAGAGAAAATAAGAAAGAGAAGAAACGTTAGTTTAGCGCGCTCAAAATTATTTCATCTCCCTCATGCGGCTATGACATCGCGTGCGCAAATCACAAATTTTCAAATTAACAAAGATTGCGTTAAAGGAATAGAATACCAAAGATTGGGAAAAAAAAAAACTTTATTCAGTCATCAGTATTGTACAGCAAAATTTCCCACAAAATAGTGCGCACAAATCCTCCCATCAGTACACGAGATAAAACACGGATAGCATAGAGGTGAGAACACTCGCCTCTCACCAATGCGACCCGGTCAGCAGACTCGATTCCCGGACTCGGTGTCGTAGTGAGTCATTCTCTCATCATGAGAGCTTGTGCTTCGAGGGTTTTTCTAAGGATTATCCGGTTTTTGCTCCCTCCACAAAAATCAACTTTTGTCGTCCTTCAAATGAAATCCAGTGGAAGAAAAGCCGCTCTATGAAACCACTGTTAATTCCCATTAGTATATTTATTTATTTATTAAAACACGAGCGCAAGCGTATATTTGGACGCAAGCCGGCTTATAAATGTGCTTGACGTCACAGCAAGCAAAAATTCGTGCCAAAGTTAGCCACGCCTTAACGACAACAGTAACCAAAACACGYAACAGTGTTGTCTAATGTAAGTACCGAAACTTGAATACCCCTATTTTGGCGATGATGTTTGGAAGTGACGAATTAGATCTGAGTTTAAGGAGAGGAGGGGAGGGGTTGGTTTTTGCATGAGGCTTTGCAGGTAACTATATGTACTTGAAAGTTTTATCCTCTGAAATTCAGGCTACAAAAAAGGCAAAAGATAGGATGGGCTAAGAACTGAACAATCTCGTTCCCAGAGCCCTTATAATTTTCTATTGTGCACAAGATTGGGCTATGAAACTGGTATGCAGATCTGCATGCTGCGTGATATCACGATGCACATGCGCAGAAAAAACGCTGAAAGTCAAGCAAAACACGCACTCAGATCTTATCCACATCACGCAAATCATCATTTTTGTTCACGGCATGTAGCTTGATAATACAGTCACTATCAGTTCTTGAATATCAAACATCTAACTGACAACTGAAACCTGAAGGACGTCGACATGGATTTTAATTACTTTAATTTGAGGAGCAGGCGTAGCTCAGTTGGTTAGTGCGCGACCTTCAGAGCTTGAGTTCCACGGTTCGATCCTTAGGATCTCCACGTCTGTTTCGACTTCTCTCTAATTCGTGTAGCTTCAGCTTTAAATACTCTTAAAACAGATCACTGATGGCGAGAGGGGGTAAAGTGCGCACCGTCGGCTTCCATTGATAGGAGTTGAATTTCAACTGAAGGAACTACCGAAGTTAAATATAGGTACTTCACCTTTACTTTACTTTTACTATCGGTATTTATTAACGTCACAACTCCTTATCTGGACAAATTAAATGGGAAGTAATCAGTTAACTAAATAAACAACTCAGACCACAGATAAAAGGTTTATTTTGAGGCTATCGCATTATCAAGCGATTCATTACACTAAAAGTTATTGGAACACCTACCTTGGCGAAGAGCCTAATCAACTGACCTTATACATTAGTGAGTGAGATTTTTCTTCAGTATTTGTTGGCATGTTTTCAAGAGAGTAAGAAGTATATTCCTATTTTACCGGGTGTTTGGAAGCTCCATTTTTGCGTGTCTTTTCAGGTACTTTATTGCGTCAAAAGATAAGCTCACACAATGAGGTTTATTTTACTTAAAAGTAGCGGCAATGAAATCAGACATGTTTGCATAGTAAGTAGACGCAAGAAAGGGGCGAGGTCAAAACAATGGTCCAAAATAGGGACACGATTTTATGAATTAAGGTGGTGGGTACCGGTACATACTCCCACCCCCCTCTGAGACCTGTTCAAATGCTCGATACTGGGGGTCTGTAGTGGCAATTTCTATGCACAAATATGTTTTTTAGCATACATGCAGACAGACAGTCCACTCATTTCTGTGATGTGGCTTTTAGTTTTGGAGATATTTGGAGACAAAATCTAAGACTTCACTTCCAGAGGTGGTGGGTACCGGGTAACATCACCCCCCCCCTCCCTTAATCGGGTCCCGTGAGATGACAATTGTTTTGCCCTCATCCCAAAATAAGCGAGTAAAAAGAGTTTGAAATGCATAGGGTTTGACAGATTTTCCATTGGCCAAGTCCTACCATACAAAGCTGGAAGATCGCAATAAGAATACTGAATAAGATAGACACTGTCATATCGTAGACATATAATCTTGAGTAGTGGTGCATGAGTAGTGATTTTTTTTCATAGTGGTTTGTTACTCACAGTCCTACGATCGTCCCATCGTCTCATCCACAGTTTCTTTTCATCATGATGAAACGATGGGACGATCGTGGGACTGTGAGTGGGACAGATCGCCATGTGATACCTTACATTTTATAAGCACAAAACCCCAATTAACATAGGAAACCAGAAAACTTGAGTTTTGGACCCTATAGTTCACATGTATGAAGAGTCTATTGTGAGAGGGCATTACATGAATTTGGCAGCTATCTATGTTTTTCTCATAACTGTTAAGCGTCCGACAAAAAGTTTTGGCGGGATATCAAAGCCCTGCACAGTAATCAAGTCCTCTTTTCCATAAAATCAAGTGTCTTTAATCTCGAAAACTGACAGTCAATTAAAGGCTTTACTTGAACAAGATCAAAGAGCAAGAAAATCATAGAATCTAATCAGATAAGTCAGTGTTGTGCGAGAAAAATGATGAATGGATGAATAATGATAATAAAGTAAGAGGTGAAATCTTGATAGCGGGATAAATTAAAGGCAGTGTTAATTCGCTCACCAGTGAATAACACACACGAGAGCATTTTCAATACTTCTGTTTACATGGTTCAGATCTAGTGACTTGATAATCTGGTGTCTTTTCTCAATACAAATGCTGACCAAAATAGCATTAAGAGTTTGGCCAGGTTAATTTGGAACTGTTTTGTTTTGATTAACCTTATAACTCGAAATAAACGACCATTAGAGTCTCCAGACCATCGCATACAAAAAATAGGAAGACAGATCTTGATTCTATCGAATTTTTCAGTTAAGAAACAAGTTTGGGATAGACGCCCTTTGTGGTTTTGTGAACATTCAATGTTGGGAAGGAAGGAAGGACCGCCCAACGCGCGCGTTTGTGAAATGGCGGGAAAATGGCACGACCTTTGAAGGTTTCTTGAAGAATTCTTAAAACGCGAAGAACAAAGCTCATTCATTATTAAAACAATCCAATGAAAGTGCCTCGAGCGTGACTAATGGAGTAAGGATTTGAACTTGAGACTAAATGCGAGATCCAGACAAGAAAACACTACGCCCAGATTAAATGTTTTGAATATTTGAAGGTTGTGAACGATGACGAGTTCGTGGACTTAAAAATATCGAGGATTAGTTGCATTTTACCTCGATGCTGATAACAAACACAAGATGAATGAACCGTTTAACTTCGATTCTGACCGGACCAATACGGAATTTCAGCAATCGCTGTGCAAGGAGTCTTCTTGTTGTTTGATCTTGTTTTTGTTTCCCGTTGTTGGTGTGTTCGTTGGTTGGGCGATGTTCCTGTATGGGAGCCTTGTCGCTTCTCTTACCATTATTTCATCTTCTGTTATGGTCTTTGCAAGCTCCTTGCTGCTGTTCGTAGCGTATGGAAACTACACCAGTTTAAAGTCACGTATGGCTTGGATGGATTCAGTAAAATACTACAACAAAAGCACAATTGCAAACTCGAAGACAAAAATTTGATTTCAAAAGATGATGAGTCTGGAGAGTTCGAAATCCTTCCATTGAGGAAAAATTAAAAAGCAGGAATCTTTTTAAAAGATTAATGGATTCCCAGGAAGTGTGATTTACAAGGTCAAGAGACAATTTGATTGACAAAAAAGCGGCCTTCTTGCGAAACTTTGAGTGTATTCAGTTGATTAAATTTACAGATCGATGGCGAGAATCGTATACGAATAAAGAAGAAATATGGATTTTGACAAATATTCGCCGGAGCCACACTACCACGTAAAGAAAGACCAAGATGACAAGGAAAGCATTTCAGTGAGGCTATATTTAAAGGTGCTCATTCCCAATATTGTACTAAAACCGGCTGCCGAGAGCTTTTCGCCATTTGATAACGAAAAAATGCAGCCAAACAAACGAAGAAAGCTCAGTTGAAAGGGCAGTGGTTCAGCTGATACTGGACAGCCCTTCAATCACACCATATCGGTCGACGCGAAACTGAATCAAGATCATAGCAAACAACATCTTTGGTGGTACAATCACATCCTGTAGTTTAATATTTTAATGATAGCATTGGTTTATCTTGAGTTTGTACTGATGGTGATGACATCTATATTAATGACGAAAATTCGTATCTTTCATAAGACACTTTTATTCAACTACGTTGAAAGGAAAAGAAAAATATTGGCTTACTTTTATATCGACAAATCAGATAACATTTGCTTTAACAAACCCTACATCAGAGATCCACAAGGTCAAATATTGTATGTCTAAAAGTACGACAAACCAATGAAAATTTAATGGGATTGATTGCCAGAATTCTTGACATCATGAAATATTTTCCAACCATCTTCTTTTGTTATGTAAATGTTCGGCGTAGATTGTGGCTACTGCAATACCATAGTTTGAGTACAGGGTTGGAGAAACTAAAAATAATTCTTTCATACTTTTTCTCTCAGCGTTGGTCTCTGGCGACTCTTAAGATCACCAGACGTTTTTATGAGTAAAAAGTAAATGTTAAAAGCGTTTTAGCAGTTATTTGGTTGGATTCCTTTTTTGTTTTCAACACTCAACCCGAATAAAGATTTTTTCATTTCAAGAACCACTGAAAAGTCGTCCATTAAATGGTTGTTTCTTATTACGAATCTTGCTGAGTCAGATCTTAGCGTTCTCTGACCAGTTCTGTGGCACAAAAGGCTAAATACGAAGCCGGAGAAACCAAAATCGAGCGTACAATATTCTAATGTATTTCCCAAGTAATGGCGCCCTCCCTTACAAGGCCAAAGTTTAACTGAAACTTATGTGCAATGTCAGTAATTTTTGTATCTATTTTAGACTTTCTCTGCGAGAATGTTGCAAATGTAGAACGCCACCTTATGCCCGGCTTACAGTAAACGACGAAGTCAGAAACGAAACAAAATATTAACTGTAAACAACGAAACGGAGTTAAATATGCAAGTCAATTCGATATGTTGAAACAAGCTGAAGTCTGCATTTAGTTCGTAGCTTAGAAAAGTTTTTTTCCCCACCATTTTTGGTTGGTTTACTATCAGTAAAATAATGATTGTGATGCTAACGCAACGGTTTACCACGAACCCTGTTTCAAGGTTGGATAAATTTTTAAGTTTTATGCCAATGCCCCATGGTGGTAGAGTTTGAATTTGATCAGCTACGGTCATAGCAATTTGCTTGATTACCCAGCGCAGATGAACATTTTGTGCTAACTTGCGCTTTATAAGTGTATATAAATTATTATTGCTTAGAAGATGCTTTTTGTGGAAATAAGAAAAATATGTTTTACTTAAGCATAGCCATGACTTTTGTTTCATGTGGTGGCTCTTAAAAGAGCCGTTGTTTGTGTTATCGAGTTAATAACTCATCTAACCACCAAATCCGTACAGGGTACGTCCTTGGCGTTTCAAAGCATACACAACATCCATGGCTGTGACGGTCTTTCTTTTGGCGTGCTCGGTGTAGGTAACAGCATCACGGATGACATTCTCAAGGAAAACCTTGAGGACACCACGGGTCTCTTCGTAGATCAGACCAGAGATTCTCTTGACTCCACCACGACGAGCAAGACGACGGATGGCGGGCTTGGTGATACCCTGGATGTTGTCCCGAAGGATCTTACGATGACGCTTGGCGCCTCCTTTTCCTAGACCTTTTCCTCCTTTACCGCGACCAGACATTTTGAACTGTTAGTTTCAGAACGTATAAAACTGAATGACCACAATGATAACTATCCATTATTTATAGCAAGAGAACTAACCAAAAAGGAAACAGCATTATTAGTCAAGTGTTGACACGAGCCAGGTCATTAGAGTGTCTAATCTTATTCAAATTAAAAAATGTAAATTTTGATCCAAAATGTCGAACGGAAACTCAAACGACTAACCGAAACTAGTAGATATCTCTATAATATCCCAACCTTTTCCTCTAGTTTTTCTCTCATTATGATCTTAACAACTTAATCTAACAATATCTAACAGTTATTTTGAAAAAGTATTTCTAAAAAGGTGCTTTTTTCTAAAGAAATTCAATGTGAGCTTGCTTGGATTCACTTTTGATATTTGATCTTTAGCGCGTTTCATCTTTTGGCCAATAACGAAGCAGCAGAATCTGCTATTAACCAATCGTTGTTCCATGTTTTTGGACCAATCACATTTTACAGCGGGTATTATAAATGTTTTGAAAGACGAAAGGGAAGGTTATTACTTTCTCTAGAAAGAACTTTCAAAGATGGCTCGTACTAAGCAAACCGCACGAAAATCTACAGGAGGAAAAGCTCCCCGAAAACAGCTGGCCACCAAGGCAGCACGTAAGAGTGCCCCAGCAACTGGTGGAGTCAAGAAGCCTCATCGTTACAGGCCCGGTACCGTCGCTCTTCGTGAGATCCGTCGTTACCAGAAATCAACAGAGCTGTTGATCCGCAAGCTGCCCTTCCAGCGTCTTGTCCGTGAGATCGCTCAAGATTTCAAGACAGATCTCCGATTCCAGAGCTCAGCTGTGATGGCCCTTCAGGAGGCTAGTGAAGCTTACTTAGTTGGTCTGTTTGAAGACACAAACTTGTGCGCCATTCACGCCAAGAGAGTCACCATCATGCCCAAGGACATTCAGCTTGCCCGCCGAATCCGTGGCGAGAGAGCTTAAATGTGTTGAAAAACACAAATTCAAACAACGGCTTCTTTAGAAGCCACCAAATGCTTGAAAGGCATGACCTCATATGCACATTATCCCAGTGTTATCAATATCTTACGACAATCGTGAAATACGAAATGTTTACCGCCATTACTTATTCGTAGTAGATATTTGCAGTGTGAAACCCCTCTTTTTTTTTTTTTTTTTCAAACTTTCAAAGATAATATTAATTACTATTAGTTAACCATGTTAACCGAGTTATACAGTTGAGCTGTACGCAGATATAGAAATAATTTATCATTTGCCACTAGCTAAAAGTAACTCAGAGTCCTGATACGGAATCGAACCCGTGACCTTACGGATGCTCTAATCACTGAGCTTACAGGAAAGACAATTTGAGCGGGAAGTTATGGTTGACAAAATCTAGGATCTGAATTTGAATTTTTCGGGCATTCGAGTACGAATAGTAGAGTACGAACTACTTTTATACAAACACATGTGAATATTCCCTATGACAGGCGGCCACGTTCTGGTTTAAAATGATCATGAAAAGTGGCGGTTAATTTACACTGAAAGGTTTTCGGGCATGTGACTACAAAACAAACTACCTTACGAACTCATGTGAATATTCTCGGTTAATTCAATAAAAATTCATAATTTATTTTTGCAAATCATAAACGGATTTTGATTTTAATTCTTCCAACTCCGCAATCGTCTTACAGTAAGAAGATTTACGCGCCAAAGTGTTGGGTTACGATCTTGAAATCAGTTGCGTTTGAACAGACAGTTGGGAATGTTAGCGGTAAACGCTCAAAGGTGAAACAGTAGAGTAGAAGTGATAACTTATGGCATTGGTAAAAAGCAAGAAAGATAAATTTGCCGGTTCTGGATACATAAAGAATCGTACAGTAATAAAAATATATTGAAGGTAACAAAACCCATGAATAATAATCCTGAGGGAGCTTTGGTTAGTCAAGGATATTAAAAGTCTTTATATGAAGACAGGCACGATTATAGCTCTGTAAAAGAGTTTCTGTAGATCCTTCGTTAAAGGATTTTAGTTTC